CCCCCCAAATTATCATCTCGCCAGTTTCATTTTTTCTTTTTTTCAACAAAAAGTCGATAAGGAGTTTTCAATTACCGATAAATGTAATAGAGATCATTGTAATTGTTCCTTCTCTAAACAAATGAGATAATTTTGCTACCTCTGCTAGTTCTCTTGTCTCCATCAAACCCTAAAGCTATAGAGCAATGTTTCTCAACCTTGTCGACTTTAAGAAGCGTGGACTTCAACTTGAGAACCACTGCTAGAATAGAGGATATACAGGTAGTTCTTGACTTACAACAGTCTGTTTACTACTACTACTACTACTACTACTACTACTACTACTACTACTACTACTAATAATAATAATAATAATAATAATAATAATAATAATAATAATAATAACAACAACAATAATTAAGTTGGAAGGGACCTTGGATGTCATCTGGTCCAACCCCCTGCTCAGGCAGGAAACCCTATACCATTTCAGACAAATGGCTGTCCAGTCTCTTCTTAAAAACTTCCAGTATTGGAGCATTCACAGCTTCTGGAGGCAGGTTGTTCCACTGGTTAATTGTTCTAACTGTCAGGAAGTTTCTCCTTAGTTCTAGTCTGCTTCTCTCCTTAATTAGTTTCCATCCGTTGCTTCTTGTCCTGCCTGTAGTTAATTTATGAGTCAGAGAAACCACTGTGTGTCTACTGGGCCGACCTATTTTTCACATTTCTTAGAACAGGAGTGCTCCTGACACCAACTTTTAAACTCCGTGGCTCATACTGTGAGTAACCAGAGACTTAAGAAGCTCACCCAAAAGACTCAGAGGTTGTGTTCTGCTTTCCAGCTCCTGGCATTTTGAGACAAGCTGCCAACAGGATGATGAATCAGAATTACAAACATGTCTTTCAGTTTGTCAACTCTACTAACAGCCATAATAAATGAGCTACTGATGGTCGAGGATACACCAGTAAGATTACAACGCCTTGGTAAGGCCACACTTGGAATACTGCATCCAGTTTTGGCCACCACGATGTAAAAAAGCTGTTGAGACTCTAGAAAGAGTGCAGAGAAGAGCAACAAAGATGATCAGGGGACTGGAGGCTAAAACATATAAAAGGAACGGTTGCTGGAATTGGGTGTGTCTAGTCTAGTGAGAAGAAGGACCAGGGGTGACCTGATAGAAGGGTTCCAATATTTGAGGGGCTGCCCCAAAGAACAGAGGGTCAAGCTATTCTCCAAACCACCAGAAAGGAAGACAAGAAACTATGGATGGAAGCTAACCAAGGAGAGAAGCAACCTGGAATTAAGGAGAAACTTCCTGACAGTGAGAACAATTAACCAGTGGAACGGCTTGCCTCCAGAAGTTGTGGGTGCTCCATCTCTGGAGGCTTTTAAGAAAAGATTGAACAACCATTTGTCTGAAATGGTATAAGGTTTCCTGCTTGAGCGGGGAATGGACTAGAAGACCTCCAAGGTCCCTTCCAACTCTGTTATTTTGCTTCTTCTCCATGACAGATAAGACCACGATGATTTGCTGCTCATGACTCTTCTTGATGGTAGTGGAACCTAACATCTCCCTTCTTTGCTGTGCAAAAGTCTTCCTAGCCCTGGACCACATGAGTCATGCTTGGGAATGAAAACATTCTCTGTGTGCGATACATCTGCTTGTCGCCCGTCAAAAAGCTGCATCAATGA